TCTTAAGTTTTTAACCTGTCAAGTTTTTTTTTATATTTTTAACATTACAATTTATATGTTTCCAAACACACAACAGTTTAAAGCAAAGTTTAGTTTGAAAAGAATGAGCAGGAAGGATTGAAAAGCATGTTAACACGGTAATGTAGGCTTGAGTTCATTATCTGATAGAGGTGTAAATAATAGTCGTTTTGTAACGATGCATCGATCCAACAGCCGACGATCCGATGCATCGACACGTCCGCAACATAATCGAATCATGTTTTTCTTTTTCCTCCGGTCTATTTTAATCCATTTGCTCCTGGGCGTAATTCTCCCTCCCGTGCTGCGGTGGCGCTAAACCTATTTTGCCCTCCTACCTCGCTTCCTGGTTATATTCTTACAGCAGTGTGTCGCAGTGAGCTTGACACAGACATTTTTAAGTTATGCTCAATATTGAAGCGTGGTCTGTGCTACACGTTGTTGGTCTAGATACGGCCGAGGCGGGGAGGAAGTGGGGGCGAGTTTAGTCCGACGACGGAGGGACATGAGGGCCAAAAAGCGCGGAGATCCAGGTGGAAAAAGGGTCCCAGCGTTCTCGCGCACCTCGCTCTTCTAGCGGGTCAAACTTCACGAGTTGTTTTCCGCAATTTCGGTCATAAAAACAAAACAAGCCGGCCTCCTGTCTGCAGCACTGTTTGTGGTCAGCTACAATTTGAGAGAGGTGCAGCGGAGCGTCTGTGGAGGGGGCGGGACGTCTGGAGCCGAGGAATTGCATTGCACTCATTGCACTGATTATGTGCAGTATTTTTTGATGCAACTTTTCTACTTCTGTTATTAGCTGTTGTTTCTAAAAAAAAAAATGCATAACGATATTACAGCTTTCATTGATTTATTTCAAACTTGAAACTTTGTTTAGCCTGTAAGGTAAAAAAAAAAATTTTAAAATAAAAAAATTAACCGAATAATCAAATAAAATCATGGTGTATTCTTGAGTATCGAAAATAATCGAATCGTTGGGTCAGGAAATCGATACTGAATCGAGTCGCCAAGATGGATATGATTTACACACCTACTATCCGACTCCTGCATATACACACCAGGAACCTGTAAACTTAAAAAATACTCAATTACAAAAAACATTTAAAAAAACTAACATGTTTCATTGATATATATACAAAAATGAATATTAGGAACTATATTTATCAAACATTATACTGGGCAAGTAAAAATTGTTTCTGGGCAAATGAAATGTGAAAGTCACTTGCCCAATGGGCCGGTTTCCCGTGGACCACCAAATGTATGGGGACAACTTTAAAGATACAGCTTATGTATATATAGAATGGGTTCTCCTTTTGATGAACTGAATGACTTGCACTCCCAAAACTGGAGACTTAAAAAAATAATAGAGACACTAAAACATCTTTAAAAAAAAAATTTCATTTCTACATCTATGGAAGTTAAATATGTACAGGAATCTACTGTTTCTTCCTTTGAGGATAGCAGATGGAATTGAGCTTATTTAGACTGTATAATAAAATTACCGTACCAAAAATGTTCAAACAACAGTTATAAAAGGTTTCATCAAAAATCTCACTTATTTAGGGGAAAGCTCCTGCAGCACCCTCTAGCTCCAATAAGTGGTTCTTGTCATGCATGCAGTTTGTCCAAATACACACTTTGCTTCTGATCTCTGATCCAAGACACACTGCTGGATCCTCATCAGGCTGCATAATCTCTACATGAAAGGGGCTGAGACACCTGCTGTTATGTCTTCAGAGGAAAATCCCCCAATAAGATGCTGACCCCTTTCAAAAAACGGCACACAGGAAAATACCTACACAGACACCTGCACACCCCTTTCTCAAGAGATGCTGCTGATCCGTTTTGTAGGGATGTAACAGAAGTAATCTTGGGAGCGAGTCTGTGTTAATGACTTGGTCTTTGATGTGTAAATCCTCCCGTCCCAGAGCAAAGCTGATACAGTCTCCTCACAATCCTGCTCACATGCAGTCTTCCTCCAGTCTGTCTTATTGAACCTGTGTACCAAATGCTGCCAGACTTTTGACAGCTAATAATAGCAGGCCCTAAGATAGAGAAGTGCTTGCTGACATGCAATTTTGCAGAGAGAGAAAGTGAATAGAAATATAGTGAAAAGTGTTTTACATCACCCTACAGAACCCCACATCTCAATTCTTCTCACTATTTTCTCCCTGAACTGATATAAAGCTGAGATAATTTTTTCCCCCTGCATAAACGTAAGTCATTTGCTTCATTTCATCTCTGCATTGCTTCTCCGCAGAGTAATTGGATTGTGGTTGCACTGTCATGTACTTGTTTAAATGAATGCCTATTAATCAGAGGATAATTGGACACATACCCCTGATAAATGCTGCTGCTCCACTTTGAGTCACGTACAAATTAGGCCATTTTCAGGGATCCGTTTCTTATCTGGCTTGACTCATGCTTATATAAGCTGCAAGCTAATAGTTTTCTTTGGTCTTGCAACATCCTCATGGGCATAACTCAATTATTATGCTTTTACCACTTTACTCGTTGGGTTCTTTTTATATGTGGGGATTTTACATATATTAACTTTTAGTTAGAAATTTTAGCTGACACTGCACAATATAAGACATCCTGCATGCAAGCCACAGCGCTGCTTTTTAAAGAAGATTAACTAAGCAAAGTTTATTAGCAACCATTGCAGAACCTCAAGCACAGGAGCAGACAAGCAGTATCTTCTACCATTTAACCAAGTTGAAGTGAGGGGCGGCCTTTTTCTAGAGCCAACACTAACTTTTCTCATCACTGCCAGAGCACAAGTTAGACACCACGCATCTGTCGCCAATGGTACTACTATCCACTTATGTGATTCTCCTT